GGGGAGGGGGTTCTGATCTGGGGCAGGGGGTTCGGGGTACGGGCTCTGTCCGGGCGGCACTTACCTCAGGCGGCTCCCGGGGCTCAGGCAGGCTCCCTACCCGGCTCCGCGCGGCTCTCGAAAGGGACCGGCATGTCCGGCCCCAGGCGCCGGGGCGGCCAGGGGGTCTCCGCATGCTGCCCCCGCCAGAGCGCCATCTCCCCACGGTGGGTGTTATGACATCATCACTGCTGATGTGACATCACAGTGGACATTGTGACATCATCAATGGCACCATGACCTCATAGTTTCTGTGTGACAGCGTCATGGGCATGAGCCATCGTATTATAGGCTGTTGTGCTGTGACATCACGGTGTGTTATGACATCATCAGAAGCTGTGTGACATCATTGTGGGGGGTTATGAAGCCACAGGTGGATGACCTTATCACTGGCTAGTACTGTGACTGCCGTTGCCATGGGGACGGATCCAAGATGGCCGACACCACTGTTGCTCGGGGCAACGCGTATGCACTCCGCCCTCAGGGCCCGCCCTCACCACCCTCTACACCCCATTCAAGCGAAGGCTCATGTAGGGGCGGGATTTGATGTCTGTCACTCGAGGAAAGTAACAAATAGGCTGGGAGATTGGGCAAGAGGACTGGAGAGCGAAGCCAATAGTCTGAGGGAGGAGGCGGGTTTAAGAGCTTTTATCCAATAGGATTAAGAAGGAGGCTGGATTGACAGCGACACAGTATCCAATGGGATTGAAGAGAAGGCAGTACCGGGTATTATTCATCTAATTGGATATTAATAAAGTGGGATTATGTCGGGGAATTAGCCAATAGCGTTATGGAGGAGACGGGGCGAATGCACCGAGAACCAATGAGTATAGAAAATGGGCGGGAGGAAGGCGTGGCATTAAGCAATAATAATTCAGATGATTGGTTAAACTCGCAACCAATGGGATTCCAGTCAAGATTAGGGTGCCAGCCAATGGCTTGACAGGAAGGGCGAGGCTAGTGCCAAATCAGCCAATGAACTGCGACAGTAGGCGGGACTATAGTCGCCGCCAGCCAATGAGCGCGGAGCCGCCCCTGCAAAGCGGCCGAGGCCACCCCGCGTTTTCCTTAGTGCCGGAGCTGGGAGCTAAAATGGCGGCCGCCGACGGAGATGACTCGCTGTACCCTATCGCGGTGCTGATTGATGAGCTGCGCAACGAGGACGTGCAGGTGCTGACCGGGGCTGGGGAGGCCGGGCCGCGGCCGGCGGGGGAAGGCTGGGCTGCGGGGAGCCGCACGGCGAACGGAGCCCGGGGTCCGGCGTCCAATCACAGGCCGCCTCTCACCCCCAAAGCCGCGCTGCGGGCGTGAGAGGAGACGCCTGATTGGATGGGAGTGCCACATTGGGCTGAATGGGAGTCTGGGGGCCAATGTTTGTGTGCGCGGGGTTGTCTGACCCCCCCGCCCCCCACCACCCCTGTGGGTCAGATGAGATATGGCCGCTGATTGGCTGAACGTCTTCCCCATTCATTCCAGTGGGGCCTCTCTCCTCCTTGGGATCAATGACCCCTGACCCCTGATTGGCTGTGGGGTGCCCGTAGAGCCAGTCATGGGGTTTGGCTCACGTGAGGGTGTGGTGCGAGGGGGTGCCTGACTGGCTCCTTCCCAGGTATATCCCCTATAGCCAATCACAGGCCATGCCTTATCCCCCAAGGGTGGGGTGGATGACAAGAGGTTGCTGATTGGCCAGATTTGGGGGAGGTGGGGGGACATGGTATACTGGGGAGTCGGGGAGCCAATCAGGGAGGCTCTTAAAAACGTATTTTGCAGGCTAGACCCTGATATACCACTGAACGGGGGCTCCATGTGGGATTGGCCAAAGGGGGCTCCCCTGTGTTATATAGAGTGGGGGTGGGCCCTGTGAGAGCTAATCCTTAACCTCTCTCTGTGATTGGCTGGGGGAAGTTTCTGTCTTGGGGAGCGCGGTCTGTGGGAGCCAATCCCTGCCACTGGCCTGTGGTATATCTGGAAGTGACCTGTAGCAGCCAATCCTGGGCGTCCCCTAGGAGATGGTGAATGTGGCTGGCCTTGGCACACCCCAAGAGTGTGTGATTTACCACAGCCATTCTTAGGGCTTCCTTGTCATGAGTACCTTGTGATTGGTCCTTACTAGCCTCCTCCATGACTAATGCTGGCCAAAGCTTGTAAAAACCAATTTCGGGGCTCCCCTCAATGAGCTGCTGCATGCAAGTGGCTGGGAAAGGCTGTGGTGTGGTGGGGGCATGCCCCCCAGGGGACCAATACTGGGATTAGCCTAGGAAGCAGCTGTGTGATTGGCTGGAAAAGTTCCTGCCATATAACCATGGTATATATGGAGAGAGGGCACAATCCTCTGATCTCTTCCTTTTTGGGGGAGAGGGGGCTCGGGCTTGGTTCAGGGGGTGCTCCGGTAGCTTATGAGCTCAGGCTAAGGATGAGGGTGGTGGGGGATGGAGGATATGGGAGCAGAGGTGAGGGGGTTGTCTGTGGGGTGAAGGGGGTTGGGGGGGGGGTAATTTGATCAACATATGGCATTTTAGGACTGCCACAGGGCTCTCTAAGCCAGGGGTGGACAAACTTTTTGGCCCAAGGGCCACATCTTGGTATGGAAATTGTATGGTGGGCCATGAATGCTCAAGAAATTGGGGGTTGGGGTACAGGAGGGGGTGAGAGCTTTGGCTGGGGGTGTGGACTCTGGGGTGGGGCCAGAAATGAGGAGTTCAGGGTGTGTGTGGGGGGCCTCTGGGCTGGGTCAAGGGGTTGGGGTGCCGGGGGGGGTGAGGCCTCTGGCTGGGGATGGGGTTGAGGGTGCAGGAGGGTGCTCCGGGCTGGGACCAAGGGGCTCGGAGTGCGGGAGGGGGGATCAGGGCTGGGGCAAGGGGTTGGGACATCGGAGAAGATCAGGGGTGCAGGCTCCTGGCAGCGCTTGCCTCAAGCAGCTCTTATTCGGAAGCATGGCCAGGCAGCTCTGCACATTGTCCTGTTTGCAGGCACTGCCCCTTCAGCTCCCATTGGCCATGGTTCCCGGCCAATGGGAGCTGCGGGCACGGGGCTTGGGGCAGGGGCAGCATGTGGATCCCCCTGGCTGCTCCTACGTTTAGGAGCCGGAAGGGGGACATGCTGCTGCTTCCGGGAGCCTTGTGGACTGGGGCAAGCCCTGGACTCTGCTCCCTGGCGGGAGCTCGAGGACCAAATTAAAACGTCTGGAGGGCTGGATGCTGCTCCTGGGCCGTAGTTTGCCCACCCCTGCTCTAATCACATACCTGTGGGGATGTACTGGGGGTGGGGTGTCTGTTCTATGACAGGGCCTTTTCTACCTGGCTATCTCCGGGGTGTGGCTCCCAGGGTGGGTATATCAGGCAGAGTAGGACTAGCCAGACAGGATGCCCCAGTGGTGACACAGCGGAAGGGGTGTGGGAGTAGATCTTGTGAGGGGGAGGGACTCTGGGCTGCATGTGGGGGGAAGTGTGATTTAGGGGTTGGAGCAGAGGGAGGCCTGAGAGCCAGGATTTCTGGGTTCTCTCCCTGGCTCTGGAAGGGGAGCGGGGTCTAGTGCATTAGATCACACGACTCCTGGGTTCTGTTCCCTTCTGAATGTGAACATTGGCCCAACTTCTATGGGGAGTGGCGGCTGTGTAGCTTGGAAGGGGGACCAACCTTCTCAGGGATTGCCTGGATTAGTCAGGAGGGTGTTAAACTAGTAACGAAAGGGGAGGATAAAAAGAGGGAAGATACGAGCCCTGAGCACAGAATTGAGATGTTGAGAACAAAATTAATCAAGGAACGGAAGGGCGTGAAGAGAAGAAATTCTTGACTTGCCTTTACTGCAATGCTAGGCACCTGGGTTACCAACCAAAGGAATTGGAATTACTTGTTTATGAGCAAAAGCTCAGTCGAGGTGGTATTATTGTATCCCGGAGGGATGATTTGCACAACTGGAATGTTAATATCAATGGTCATAAACCAGTGGTTTTCAGCCTGTGGTCCACAGATCCCCGGGGGTCCGCAGACTGTGTCTAAGGGGTCAGCGAAAGGTGGTTGTTACCATAGAACGGTGGTTTTCAACCTGTGGTCCATGGTTCCCTGGGGGCCCACAGACTATGTCTAAGATTTCCGAAGGAGCCCGTACTGCCATTTGAAAATATTTAGGGGTCCACAAATGAAAAAAGGTTAAAAACCCCTGTTATAAACTATTTAGGAAGGATCAAGTGGGCAGGAGGGGAGGAGCACTGTCAAAATGGCATCACCTGTTTCTGAATCACTGATAACTCGGAAGAAAATGATCTTGAATGCTTATGGATAAATGTCCTAACAGAGGAAGCACAAGATGCTATATTAGTTGGGGTTTACTATAGACCACACTGGGGAACAGGAGGACAGATTTATAATGTGCAGGGGAAAAGTGTGAGATCCTGAGGGGCTTCAATCTGATTGACATATGCTGGAGTGCTCAGGCTGCCATTAAACATCCTTGGAATTTATAAGTTAGAGGACCATTTCCTAACTCAAAAAGGGTTGCATCCAATGTGGGGGAATTCTATATTAGAGACCTAAAAACTAGTGGTAACTTAGGTGGGAGTGATCATGACTTGATCACATTTATAATGTACAAACAGACCAGTGAAGGCCAGACCAGTGAGAGATTTTATTTGGTGCTTTAAAAGGGCCAGTTTCACAAAGCCAAAAACAATTGAGCCAAATCAACTGGGGGGAGGGGGGGAATTGAATTAGGAAATGTGACTGATAATGAAGCATTGTTTATGAACCCCACGGGATGCCTGAAAAGCCCCAATCAAGGAAGAGAGCCATATTGGTTTAAAAAAACAAAACAAAAACCCAATGTGGTTTAGAAGAAAAGTGAAGGCAGCTATAAAAAATGAAAAAAATATATATATATATATAGCAGCAGAAGAAAGGGGAACTGTAGAAAATTGATAAGGGAAGCAAAGGGACACAAGAAGAAATGTGTGTCCAGAAGTGTAATCGCTGCCCTTTGACGGTCTCTTGCATGTCATCAGTGCTGTTCCCAGCAGGGCAGGGGCCAATATCAAAAAAGTTGCCCTCAGGAGGGAGGTCTGAGGTAGCCGCAGTCAGAGGTCAAGAGCTGAAATCAATTCCTGTCCCAGCAGCGATGCTCATGTGGCTACAGGGTTGATAAAGAGTGTGTTTTTATTTTGTTTAAATTAGAATAATTTTTTTTCAAATAAACTTGCTTAAATAAAATGAGTTTTATACGTTTAATATGTTCAGGCCTGAACTAAAGAGTCTCCTAAAACTTTTAAATAAAAAACAAATGCTGAATCTGTGCGTCTGTCGCAAACTTTGACTGAAAGGCTGCTTTTCTGTATAACGAAAGAATTGGGGGAAACATCTAACTTTTGCGGTTAAGCTCTGTAAATATGCCTCAGTAGGTCATCTACTGTATTAAGGACTTGCTCCTGTGGGGAACCGAGGACTTGCACTTCTGTGTGAGAGATTTAGTACAAATAAATTGTACATACTGTTTTGTGTGTGTAATTAAATTCCACTCGCCGTCCTAATGCATTTCCACATAAATCAAGAGAAAGAAGTGAATTAGCTAGTGAACGAGCCACAGATCAGTCACTTTTTCTAACATACTACAAATGTCATTAATAAGCATCTGAAAATACTGTGCTCTAGAATTGCTTAAATCAATGTGTATATAGTTAGTGTCCCCTCCTAAGCAGCAAAAAGATGTACCAAGTCTAGGCTGACGGCTCCATTTAGCTGTAATTGACGTATTTTAATGGTCCCATCAACCATCGCAAATGTGCCTTTCTTTAGAACATCACTGCAGTCCAAATGGAAAAGTTGATTAAACTTGATGATTGAAATTGAGGCTTCCCACCTGGCGATTTAAACCACGATTTAAAGCGAGGCAATTGAAATCACCCAGTGGAAAGCCTGCATTGCAAATTGCCTTGCTTTAAATCACCAAGTGGGAAGCCTCGATTTCAATGGCGATTCAGATCGCCAGGGGCTGACCTAAGTTTTAGCCCAGCGTCCCCCTCCCCTGTCTGCACCGGTCTCCTGGTTCTTACCCACTCTCCTCTCCACACAGCTGCGTCTCAACAGCATCAAGAAACTCTCCACCATCGCCTTGGCCCTCGGCGTGGAGAGGACCCGCAGCGAGCTCCTGCCTTTCCTCACAGGTAACCAGAGGGCTCCAAACTGGCCTCCAGGACTCCTGGGTTCTCTCCCCGGGTCTGGGAGGGCAGTCGGGCTAGTGGATTAGAGCAGGGCGCTCTGGGAGTCAGGATTCCTGGGTTCTACCCCCACTTTTACCTCCGATCTCTGTGCTTCTTAAATGGTAGATAGCAACACCCAGCACTGGTGGCGGAGGGCAGGGCTGTTGGTGTGTGGGAGGGGGGGGCTTTGCAGGGCAGGAGCGTGGGCTGTGGGCTTTCCACCCCCCATCAGGGCAGGAGCGGGCTCTGGAATGCTTCTGCTGAAACCCTGTGTCCAGGTGAGTCGGGGAGACAGTGCCCTGTGTGCAGTCAACTAGCGACTCTCGATTCCCCTCTGAACCCACGTGTCTGGCTTTCGAAGGCGTCCGCCGCCTCGTCCTCTCCCTGCTCACCCGCCGCTTCTCTTGCAGACACGATTTACGATGAGGACGAGGTGCTGCTGGCTCTGGCTGAACAGCTGGGGACCTTCACTGCTCTGGTTGGGGGACCCGAATATGTGCACTGCTTACTGGTAGGTCAGACCCCTGCCACCTAGGGCATGGAGTCTCATCATAGGGGCACTGGGGGGGTCAGGACACCTGGGTTCTGTTCCCAGCTCTGGGAGGGCAATGGGGTCTAGTGGGTTAGAGTGGGGGTGGGGGGAGCTTGGAGTCAGGACGCCTGGGTTCTCTCCCCAGCTCTGGGAGGGGAGTGGGGTGTTGTGGGTTAGAGTGGGGGGGAGCTGGGAGCCAGGACTCCTGGGTTCTCGCCCCACTCCAAGTAGGGGTGGAATCAGTCCAGTCCCCATCTCACTGCCCCCCGCAGCCCCCCCTGGAGAGCCTGGCGACGGTGGAGGAGACGGTGGTCCGAGACAAGGCGGTGGAGTCACTGCGCGCCATCTCCCACGAGCACTCGCCCTCGGACCTGGAGGGACACTTCGTGCCCCTGGTGAAGCGCCTGGCGGGGGGCGACTGGTTCACCTCCCGCACCTCGGCCTGTGGCCTCTTCAGCGTCTGCTACCCTCGCGTGTCCAGCTCGGTCAAGGCAGAGCTCCGGCAGTGAGTGAAGCCCCTATGGGGCCGATCGCGCAACTGGGGGAGACCCTCGCAGGGCTGAATGCAGGGCTGGGTGAGAGCCTCTGGGTCAGTGGGACCCCCTGTGGGCTGATCACAGGGCTGGAAGGGATCCCGGGTCTGTGGGACAAGTCCCTGTTATCTCTCATAGTCCCCTTCATAAATGGGATCACTCTCCAACACATACTCACACACTCCCTCCACTCCAATTGGAGGCAGTTGAGATTCACCCTCCTTTGACTGGTCTGATCCGGGGCAGGATACCAGGCTAGATGAGCCCATGGGGCTGATCTGGAGTGGCAGGGAGGGGGTGGAATACTGGGCTAGATGGGGCCCTTGTGGCTGAACTGCAGTGACAGGGAGGAGCGTCTCTCTCCCCCGTCTCCGGCAGGTACTTCCGGAACCTGTGCTCTGACGACACCCCCATGGTGAGGCGGGCGGCAGCCTCCAAGCTGGGCGAGTTCGCAAAGGTCCTGGAGCTGGAGCATGTGAAGGGCGAGATTATCCCCATGTTCTCCAACCTGGCCTCCGACGAGCAGGTGAGAGCCGCGCAGGGGAGGGGGCTGGGACCAGGACTCCTGGGTTCTCTCCCTGGCTCAGGGAGGGGAGTGGGACCTAGTGGGTTAGAGCAAGGGGACTGGGGCCCAGGACTCCTGGGTCCGACTCCTGGCTTTGGGAGGGGATTGGGGTCTGGCGTTAACCCCATCCCTGCCTCTCTCCCGCAGGACTCGGTGCGCTTGCTGGCTGTGGAGGCTTGCGTCAATATCGCTCAGCTCCTGCCCCAGGAGGACCTGGAGTCCTTGGTGATGCCCACGCTACGGCAAGCGGCCGAGGACAAATCATGGCGGGTCCGGTACATGGTGGCTGATAAGTTCACAGAGGTGAGTGCCGCTTCCCTCCTCGCTCCAATGATCTGTGGTGACCTAATGTCGCATGGGCTAACAGGGGGCTGTGGGTCGGGAGTGAGGGGCACTGGCAGAGCTTTGGGGGTGGGGGGAGCCCAGGGCTGGAACTGCCAGTGGGGGTTGAGATCTGTGCACAGTGTCGATGCTTGTCAATTTCCCCTGTGCTGAAATTGACGGACTGTTGATCTGGTGACTCCCCATCTGTCTGGGGCCTGGATCCCTGGAACGCTCTGACCTGTGGATCCCCTGCTGACCCACTGCCCTTCCCCCACAGCTCCAGAAAGCCGTCGGGCCTGAAATCACCAAGACCGACCTGGTGCCGGCTTTCCAGAACCTCATGAAGGACTGTGAGGCCGAGGTGCGGGCTGCTGCCTCCCACAAGGTCAAAGGTCAGCCTTGGTGCCCCCTCTGTCCATGTGGGAGGTTGGGATCACCCTCTGGAAGGACCAGAACAATCTCTACAGCCAGAGGGGGTCATTGGGGGGAGGAATCTTTGGGTGAGAGGGTGGATGGGGGTTGTGGGTGAGGCTGAGTGTGTGGGATATAGTCTCCCCCAGGGACTGGGTGGGAACCCCGTGGCCGGAGCCCTGGATAATTGGCTGGAGCTGGGATGGTCATGCCGGTCTCATGGACTGGAGGGGGCGGTCCTGCCCTGCTGGGTGGGGGGTATTGATCTCAGCTGATCCTGGCCTCTTGCGGGGGGGGGAATGGATGGTGGGTATGATCCTGGCCCTTCCCTTGCTGGGGGGAGATTTGGGAGGGAACAAATAGACTTGGGGAGAGAAAGGGTGGGGGGAGGGGGAGAAGGTCGCTTGCTGCATGTCTGAACTCCCGTCCCCTGTGCCCTGCGCCAGGCTCCTGAAGCAGCTGGCCCCACCCCCCATGGGAACTGCTTCCCCCTCGTTAACCCCTCGCCCTGTTCACCATCTGCCCTCCCCAGAGTTCTGCGAGAACCTGTCGGCCGACTGCCGTGAGAACGTCATCATGACCCAGATACTGCCCTGCATCAAGGTACGGGGCGGGGGCTCGGCCTGATCCCCTTGCTGCTGGCATCCCCCCCTGCAGGGGAAGTGTGGGTGGGTGGCAGGGGAGCATAGGGGCACAATGGTGCAGGGGTAAGCATGGTGTGGCGGGAGGAGGGTGTGAGAATGGGGGGCACAGGATGTGGTGGAAGGGCAGGGGAGCATGGGGGGGAGGGGCATAAGGGGATGTAGGGGGAAGGGGTCAGGGGTGCCACCAAGGACAGGAGTGTGATGGGGTGGGGGGTTTTGGGGGTGGAGGAGGCATGGGGGGCTTAAGGGGCATACAAGGGGTTGTGGGGGGTGGCCCCAGCAGCTCACAGTGCCACAAGGCCGTCGTCAGCCCATCTGAATTAACCCCCCCTCCCTTTCCCCCCCCCGAGCAGGAGCTGGTGTCAGATGCCAATCAGCACGTCAAGTCAGCGCTGGCCTCCGTCATCATGGGGCTGTCACCCATCCTGGGCAAGGACAACACCATCGAGCACCTGCTGCCGCTCTTCCTGGCCCAGCTCAAGGACGAGGTGAGCGCCCCACCCCAGAGGTGGCTGCATTTTGGGGCCACTGTGCTGTGCTCCTGTCTTGTTGGTAGCGATTTTTCTCTTTGGGAAGAGATCTCAGTGGGGTTTAGTGATTAGAGCAAGGGGAGCTGGGAGCTAGGACTCCTGGGTTCAATTCCTGGCTCTGGGAGGGGAGTGGGGCCTAGTTGTGGGGGGATGGGAGCACAGGACTCCTGGGTTTTGGCTCTGGGAGGGGAGTGGGCCCCAGTGGTTATAGCCTTGGGGAGCTGGGAGCCAGGACTCCTGGGTTCCATCTTGTGTAGAAAGCCTTTGCTCTGAGCTCTGCCCCTCCCCCCAGTGCCCTGAGGTTCGGCTCAACATCATCTCGAACCTGGACTGCGTCAACGAGGTGATCGGCATCCGGCAGCTGTCGCAGTCGCTGCTGCCGGCCATCGTGGAGCTGGCCGAGGATGCCAAGTGGCGCGTCAGGCTGGCCATCATCGAGTACATGCCCCTGCTGGCTGGGCAGCTGGTAAGGAGGCCATGGGGAGCGAGGGGGCTTCGGGATCAAAGGCCTGGAAGGATCAGGCCCGGCTGGTGGTGTCTCTCTTGCTAAGCAGGGAAATGCCTGGTCAGGATTTGAATGAGACGGTTCAGGCTTCCCATTTGGTCAGGACTGGCCCCGGTGCCCCAGCGTAGCACTAGGGGGTGGGGTGGGGGCTCTCCCCTGGCAGTCAGGGCTAGCCCCGATGCCCTCGGTCGTGCTAGGGGGCACTGTGGTGCAGGGAGCTCAATTCATCAGACCTCGGGTTGCTGGGAGTTAGGACTCCTGGGTTCTCTCCCCAGCTCTGGGAGGGGAGTGGGGTCTAGTGGGTTAGAGCAGGGGGCCTGGGAGACAGGACTCCTGGGTTCTCTCCACCAGGAGCATCTCATCTGTGAAATAAGAACAGTGCCTGTTTTCCAGGGGCCCCGTCTCTCCCACAAGGTCCCGGGTCTGGCACAGAGTTCCAGGACTAACAGTCTCTTCCTTTCCAGGGGGTGGAGTTCTTTGACGAGAAGCTGAATTCCCTGTGCATGGCTTGGCTGGTGGATCATGGTGAGTGTCGCTCAGGGGACCCGCCCTCCCAGGGCTCCCCCCCCGTGGCCAGTGCTGGCTCCAGGGCCCTTGGTTTGAGTGGGGACTTCACCGCTGCAGGGTGGAACCCCATAACTCTGACCGAGCAATGATGCATCGTGGGAGATGGGCTCCAAGGTCCTAGAAGGCGAAGGCTGGTCTTGAGACTCACACAGAGGGCTGGGTGTCCGGGTTCCTGGCTGTGCCACGGACTGGGGTGTAACCTCCAGCAAGTCGTGGGTGTGCTTAGAAATCAAGGCTCCGACTCCTTCCTTTGTTCGTTTAGACTGCGCTCTTCAGGGCCAGAGCTCTGTCTGGCGGTGTCTGAGCAGCGCCTGGCACTACAGAGGCTGTGCATCCTACTCGAATACAAACAAATTAACCTTCGCTGATGAATTGCCCTTTTAGTCTATTGACTTATAAGGGCTCCCAGATCCTCTGCTTGGGGTTTTATAGCCCCATCCACTTGATCCTAGCTGTGACAGCCACATGACACTGACAAGATCTAGGTCACTTTCCCCCAGGGAAATCCAATTAACAAGAGTCTGGTCAGTTTCAGGACAGCTTTGCAGTTGACTAGGCTGTTCAGCTGTGTATCTCAGCTCGATGCTATGGGGTGAGCAAGACGTAGTCCGTTTCACTCTGCCACTGCTCTGGAGGGGGATGGGGGGGCTCTGAAGGGGGTTATGGGGGGGGGGGGGGAGGTGAGAATTCCCCTCAGCTGCAGGGCAGTGGGTGGGACACAGGGCTAGAAATGTAGCATCCTAGGCCTGTGTGTGTGATTCCGCTTGGGGTGAAAATGGTGGGGCATCCTCAGCTCTAGGGCACTCCTTGTGTCTGGACATGGCATTGCATAAGACTTTGCCTCTTGTACCCTACACGTCCCCCTCTGGTGGCTGTTTCCAGTCCCGGCTGGGGTCTTCTCCCAACTCCATCTCTGGGGAGTCGGTGGCTCGGGTCTCCGCCTGTCACTTCACTCCCCTTCTGAGATAGCAAAAGTTCCTGCTTAGAGCCCAACACAGGTGCCCAAATTAATAGTTCAGCCCCTCTCGGGCTCCACTGAAATCCTCTGCTGCTTTGCCTGGCCCAGCGTCTCTCGCCTTGCGTCTTCCCCAGCAACGTTCTCCTGCTGCTTCCCTTCGCCAGCGACTCCTGCAGGTCATCTCTTCCTGGTCCGTGTGGACCCTGTCTCGGGACTCCCCCCAGAGCCTGCTCTGCTTCCTGAGGGTGGCTCAGTCTGGCTTCCTCAGGTTCTTCCCAGAGGGGAACCACCTTGTCCCCACCAGATAAATTCCTGTGAGAAGTAAGGCCCAGGTCCAGACTGGAGGCCTCTCTGGAAGATGCTCTTAGCCACACACAAGTTGAAGGACTCAACCCGGGGGGAGCTGGAGGAAATGGAACAGCCTGCGCTATGCAGCGATCACACCGGATGATCTAATTCCGCACTTCTGGACTTGGATAATGCAAAAATCCCAACTCTTGTTTAAAAAGAACAGCCACTTCTTGGCCACAAGAAACCCCGAGCCCTGGGGCTGATGGGGATTTCTAATGGCATCTGATGGGGATTACTATGGACAGTCAGTAGCTCTTGCGCGGCAGGGAAAGCTGAAGCAGAAGGTGCCAGTGTTTTAAATGAGAATTCCCAAAAACATAGAGGGAAACCTCGACAAAGATTGTGTTTTCCTCACAGTGTTTTGTGGGGCGACTGCCGAAAATGGGGAATAAACAGGGCACCTGGTGAATGTGGGCTGGTGGGGGTGCACGGTGAATTGTAACCCCTGAAGACTCAAAATCCAGAGGGTGACTCTTCCTAGCCCAGATCTCAGGGTGGAGGGATTGGGGTTAGCGTGCCGCTGTCGGTAGCCAGCAGCCAGGATTGGCCCAGAGCCCCGGCCATCCCCGGTGATGCGTTTTCTCCTCCCTTCCCAGTCTACGCCATCCGGGAGGCAGCCACCAGCAACCTGAAGAAACTGGTGGAGAAATTCGGCAAAGACTGGGCCCACGCCACCATCATCCCCAAAGTGCTGGCTATGTCTAACGACCCCAACTACCTGCACCGCATGACCACGCTCTTCTGCATCAATGTGAGTGCCCCTCTGGGGGCAGGGGGAGCCCAGACGCCTGGGGTGGGGGGGTCTAGGGGTTAGACCGGGGGGGCTGAGAGCCAGGACTCCTGGGTTCTCTTCCCAGCTCTGGGAGGGAAGTGGGGTCTGGGGGTTACTGCTGGGAGCCAGGACTCCTGGGTTCGACTCCTGTTTTGCGTGATGGGCACAGATTCAGCGCTGGCATAACGCTCTCCCCCTGCCCCCCAGGTGCTTTCGGAGGTGTGCGGGCAGGAGATCACCACCAAACACATGCTGCCCACTGTGCTGCGCATGGCGGGCGATGCCGTGGCCAACGTCCGCTTCAACGTGGCCAAGTCCCTGCAGAAAATAGGACCAATCCTGGACAACAGGTACAGCCAAGGGGCGGGGCCAGGCCGGGCCAGGGGCCGTGGCACTGCGCAGGGTTGGATGGGGGAGGGGAGGGGAGCTTGGGATCTGCTAGGGGAGTGGGGATGGTGGAGGCAGGGCTGGGGGCACCGGGGCGGGGGAGGGGGAGAGAGAGGCAGGACTCACAGCTGCCATTCGCCTCCACCTGAGCAGCTGCGATGGGAAGGGGGGGAATTCCCCGGGCCAGGGTTCCAGTCTGCTCTGCCCCCCATGTCTCTTGCTCTGTGGGTCCCTCTAACTGCCCCACTGCACCCCGCAGCACCCTACAGAACGAGGTGAAGCCCGTGCTGGAGAAGCTCACGCAGGACCAGGACGTTGACGTCAAATACTTCGCACAGGAGGCCCTGACCGGTACGAGGGGGGGCTGGGGTCGGGTTGCATGCTCAGTCCCCTGGGGCCCTCCCTCTTGGAGGGCGTGGGGTGTCGCTGGGCCCTGCCCGACTGATCCAGCCTCGGGCCCTGTGTGGTGTGGGGGTGGGGGGTGTTAGGCGAGGTCTGTAATCATTACCTCCTGTCACCAATCCTCCCCAGCTGTGGGGGGACTCAGACCTGCTGGGAGCGTGGGGTTTGGGGGTGTCTTGGTCAAAGACCCCTTCTCTGCTGTGTGCTGTGGGGTGACCGTAGCAGGGGGCTCCTTTATGGAGCAGGGAGACATCCAAGTGGTGTTGGGGTTCAAATGAGGTTCCAGATGTCCTCTTCTCCCCCCGGGGCAATCAACAGCCCCCCCCCATGTCTGAGTGGGTTCCCTGCTCCCCTCTGATCGGGCTCTGCCTTGACCCCCTCCCCCACATCAGATATGGGGCAGCATTATATGATTAGGGCTCTGTTGGGGTGGGGGCTTCTGGGTTTCCCCCTCTCTAACCCAAGTGTGGGGGGTGCCTTGGGGATACCCCATCTGGCTTCTGTGATTCTCCAGTTGTGGGGGGATGGGCCTGCAGGGAGAACCCCCCATCCAGAAAGGGGGGGAGGGCCTCTGGGGCTGAGAGCTGTAGCCCTGTGATCTGACACCCTCTCTCTCTCCTCCCCACAGTGCTGGCGCTGGCCTGACCCCGAGGATGTGCTCTGTCGTCTCCCTGACCTCCAGCCGCCGTCGGCCCCTCGCTCCCTGGCCCCTCCCCAAGCCTCTGTGCATGTGTATGAACCCCTGTTGGGTGGGGGTGCCCGACAGCCCAATACAGACACCCCCCCCCATATTCCGATCAGCCCCCTGCTCGCCAGGGCATCACTGCCCTTCCCCCTTCAACAGTTCATCTCCCACCTGGTCACTCACCAGGGGCGCAGCACTCGGCCCCCCAGTATTCCCCCCCCACTCAAACACTGCAGTTTGGGGGGCTGCTCGTTGCTCCCTGAGTCCCCCATCCCTGCGCTGCCTCCCCGTCTGGATGGCTCGTCGCATCCCTTCTCAGCAGCTTCGCCCCTCCAGTCCCTGCCCACCGTGTGATCTGAGTGTGAGGGGGGTGGGGAGGAGAATCGGGGCGGGGCTGCTTTCAGCTGGTTTTACGGAAGGCTCTGTCCCTAGCTGGCGGCAGCTTGTACTATTCCACAGCCACCCGCGTCCCTGCTCTTCTCCTTCCTCTTCCTTCATCCGTCTGTTTTCTCACTCTCCCCTCCGCTGAAATCCGCCTCGTTCTCCTCTTCCCCTGCAGCATTAAACACCCTCCAGACTCAGCATTGCCATCCTAGGTCCCCTTCCCTCCCAGAGAGCCCCCCATAGCTCTGAGGGGGGGTTAGTAAATAGTGCTCGCCCCTCAAAATCAAAACCCCGAACCGCCTCTCCCCCGGGGCAAGTTGTAAGCAGAGAAGAGACCAAACCTCCCTGTGGAAACAGGTTTCTTTAAGGTCAGTTTTGGCGCTGGTCAGTTTCACGCTGGAGGGGCAGGGGTCTCCTTTGTCAGTTTCGCCTCTGGGCAGGTTCATGCTGGCAGGCGCCCGCCTGATGCCAGCCTCAGGGAGGCTGCAAACGCTTTTCAGCCGTGGGGCAAAGGGCTTTCAAATCCAAACGCTGGAGCCTGAAACCCCCTGGGGCGATCTCTCCAGGGCGTGAGATGCTGATTAGAAGAGGGGGGGGGGGCGTGTGGCAGCAGGTCAGCCAACATTCTCAAATCCTCTCTGCCCATCAACCCTCACAAGGGTCTAAGCCCCCTTCCCCAGCCCCCATGGGGAGCTGGGTTTATTGAGCTGGGATTTTACAGGCAACGGTTCGGGTGGGGGGGGTCATGACCATGATCTGGGTCATGGGGGGATAAAATCTGCTCAGAGTTCACCCCATGGCCTCTCAGCGGGGGTAAGGAAAAGCCCCCACCCTTCAGGTGACTGGGCAGGAATTGGATCAGGATTTCCCCTGGGTTCTAGCCCCATGGCCGTCAGTCGTACCAAGTTCTCTGGGGTTGTGCCCCTCACCTGGAAGGGGCGGGGCATCACAGAGCTGTCTAGTGGGGAAATGGGATGGTCTCTTAAAGTCAAGGGGCGTTTGACCCCTCACACTCACCACGCAAACACCTGTGCCCCAGCGTGACCCTTCCCTTCGCTGCTGCCCTGGTGGTCATGCACTGAGCAAATACAGGGTGATCCCTACTCCCCGCACCCTTTAACACAAGTCCCACCATCCCTCCTCCTCCTCCACACCGTAAGTGAAATGTCACTTTCAAGCTAATGGGTTTTTTGTGAAAACTTGTTTTATTATTTTTTTTTCTTCTCCATGATTAATAAAATGCTCGATCATTCCTGCATGGCTGTGGTGTGGACAGAGCCGCGTGGGTCTCAGGGCGGGGTGGAGGGTGGAGCAAAAGGATCTTAAAGTGCTGAAGCAACTTTAGGTGTGGGTGGGGTGCAGGGGCTGGTTATACGGGGATCCCTCACCTGCTGCTGAGATGCAGCCACCTCTGGGGTGGGGCACAGGCTGGTTATACAGGAACCCCTCACGCAGTGCTGAGATGCAACCAGCTCTGGGGTGGGGTAACTTTTTCCAGCTCCAGAGCAAGGCAGCTGCAGCAGCTGAGACAGACTGTAATGGAAAATCCTGTGTCCCCATGAAACCCCCGTGGGGACTTGTGGGCGGTGGAAGGGATTTGAGCTGGGGCTGGCAAGTCGAGGGCCTCAGGCCAAGCGCTGAGGGTTTTGTGACCCTTTCCCTGGAATTTGTCTCCTCCCAGACAAGTCCTGCAGTAGCCAGGGACCCCCTCTGAGCCAGCCAGTCCCCCAGCCTGGGGTTGTGCCCCCTATAGGGGAAAGGGCCTGTGTCCCATTCCCTGTCCCCCTG